CCCTACCTTATCTAGCTAGACCAGCCTAGGTTAGGTAACCCAGCAACCAGGAAACTCCCTGCTCATCCCTGCCTGCATAAAAGCTGCTGTGTGAGAAATAAAAATTGTCAAATTTTGACCATCTAAAAGAGCTCTGTCTGGTTCCTGTCTTCCTGCGTCGTTCCCGTTCCCGTTCCGGGTGGTCCCCTCCTCGAGCACTACTAATAACGAACCCCGCCGGCCGGGACAGATTATCTGAGCAGTCCTTGCACAGGACCCTAAGCTCACTCTACTTTCTTACAGGATCTGAGACTGTGAGACTGGTGAATAAGCTCTGCCTTCCAGTCTGCCCCAAGAAGTCTCACTTAAGTGTAACATTCGATGCCCTCACCATCAATTTCAGAATTGTTGCAAGAAGGACCTCTGCAACGTTGGAGTCCTAGTGGGGGGCAGTGCCTGGACCCTGGTGGGGGGACTCCTTTTCAGCGTGGGGTTGGGCTTCCTCTGGGCCCTGCTGTGAGGCCCTCTCTGGTCCCTTCTGCTCCTGGACCCCCTCTTCTGTCCCAGCTGGACCAGGCTCCTCCTTTGGGACCACACTAACAGTGAGTTGTAGGAATACTAAGCGGTTTTTAGCCCTGAGGCCAGGGTAGGGGGGCTGTCTTCGACCCTGTAAGTCCCCTGGTTGTAGGGCTCCGGTGTAGCCTCACTTTGTCACTGTGCCCATGACCTTCAGAGCCACATTCCTTGAGAGGCCGGCTTCCTTTACACCCCAGCTTCAGTCTAGGCTCTTCTGCTTGCTACTCTGGGCCCTGGGGTCACAGGAACATCAGGGGGAGGGACCAGAGTCCAAAGCTCCACCCTACACCTACTTCCCTGGGCCACTGCTGTCCCATACATCTGGGCTGACCCTCTCTCTGAAGTTAATAAATCCCTCTGCTCACCCAACACTAAGGCTTAGCTTCTCTTTGTCATCCGCCTCACCAAGGTCCCTGAAACACTCTGGTTAGCACCCTGGCCTTGAGGGATGTTCCAAAACTATGGGTGGCCAAACAGGGACTGGCCCACCCAGTGTCTGGTTTCCTGCCTTCCTGGCAGTACTCTCACCAAGACACCATTGGGGTCAGGTCAGATTTTCCCACACCTGCCATGTCTGCCCTTGGATAGGGCTCAGTGCTGCCTAGCTAGGGGTGGAGGTGTCTCTTGGTGGAAGGAAGGAGGGGTTCCCTCAGGGCCAGTGCTTGAGCACAGAATGGGTCCCCTGAATCTCTCAGGAGCACTTCTGGGGCTGGGGGAACAGGGATAGAGGTAGGTTGGCTGGAAGGTACTCTCAATGGAGGGCAGGCCCTGCCCTGCTGTCCTAGTGTCCTTTGGAGGTGAGTGCCACTCATTGCACAGGCTCAGGGCTGGGCTTGGACAGGAGTTATGGTTCTGCAAATGTCCTGGCTTCCCATACTGGCCAGCCTGTGCTGGATACTACCGTCCCTGTGATGTCACACAGAGGGACACTGTCCAGCCACTGCTCTGTCTCTTTGGATTTGGTGACCTAAATCAGGAGGTTCATTCTGATAAACAATAAGTAAATATTTAGCATGAGCATGTCCCAAATGTCAGTAAAAATAATTACTTGCTGCTTCTCTAAGACTCAGATTTAACTAGGTATCTTGTATTTTTTGTTTGCTTGCTCCAAAAACTCACCATGGTGAGTGAATAAGGAGGGTTAACTGCCACCACAGACACTCCTGAATTTAGGTGGCGAATACAATCTCCATGGGATGTGGATGGAGAACAGGCCTTGAACCCTGCCCAACCTTAGGAAGATTGTCCAAGATGCACAAATTGGTGCAGTGTTTGGGGAGAAAAGCCAGAGCTTTCTCCATCTGGTGGTAAGGAGATGTAAATGAAGGGAAGCTAGGCTGGAGGTGTGCAGAAGAAACTCCATCTTTCATCTTTGCTGGCAGCCACTTAGAAAATGCTGGGAGAGATGTGGGCAATGTCCAGGGCAAGCAGCTCCCACAGCACACCCAAGGACCAGTGGAGTCTTCCCCCAGGATGGGATTCGGCCCTGATGGTGCTTGACCGGGATCATTGGGATTTAGGACTAAAAAGTCCTGAGAAGACAAATTCACATTGTTTAAAACAGATGGGAAGAAAGTTGACTACAAGAGTGCTTAGCACCCCTATCCCTCCCACACCAGCCCACAGGGTAGGAGGGATAGAGGAGGGCCAGACAGGCCCCAGATTCTCTCCTGTCCTGCTCTGTCATGGTCAATCACAAGCTTGCACCCTCAAAAGCTCTGGGGCTGGTCACATTCAGCCAGTGTCTTCCTGCGGTCCCTCACATGTGGCAGGTAGCAAAGGAAGCCTTCATTCTCATGCGGGAATGCCCACAGGAATGCCCTTTGTCCTGCAGAACAAAGTAGCACATGCTTGCTGGTCCTCAACTGCCCTCACTGCTCTCCAGTGCCTGTCCTCCTGTCCTCCTGAAGTCATTCTCTTAACCCCCACCCCCATAAGAAGTTCTCATCCTTCCCCGTGAGCCCATGAGTCCTGGGAAAGAGAGAGGGAGAGGGAGGCACCTAGTGTTTTATAAAGAGGGAAGAGGCCTTGGGACTGGGAGGGAAGGGACTAGTTCAGGGAAGAGGGTAGCTGTGACTACAGGGCGGCTGTGGGTGCAGGTACTGGGGGTGCTGCTCTGTGGTTTCCATTCTCATGATACAGTGACTCGCTGCTCAGTGTGAGTCCACTCTGGTCACACAGTGGTGCAAGATGGAAGATGTCACTGTCCTCTGACACTGCTGGGGGAGGAGGTGTAAGGCATGGGGAATATCCTGTGAATTGATAATAATTTTTGATGAAATGTTTCCAAAACTCAAGGATGTTTTTGTCACTTTGTTTTTACTAAATAACTTATCTCTATCATTTTAATTTTCCAATTTTCCCCATTTAAATTGTGAAATCCCCAGTAAGGTTTTAATCTTCTGTTGATACTGATCTTGTCCATTGTTCTTTAAGGTATTTTCCCTCCTCTTTGCTTCCTGACTAGTTTCTTCAGGTTTACACACGATTGGTTTTTCCAAAGAAATGACTATGCCTGTGAATCATGTCTAATGTATGCATAATTTCTACATTGTTAATTTCTGCGTTTTACTGTTTCCTTATTTTACTTTCTCAGATTCACTTTCTTGTTCTTTTTTTAAACTTCCTGTGACAAAAGCTTTATTCATTAATGTGGAATCCTTTTTTGTTTTTGTTTTAATGCATAAAGGCAAGTCTACAGGTCTTCTCTAAGAATGCCCTAGGTGCATCCCATGAATTTTGAATTATAGTATGTTTGCCTTCAATTTAGCTCAATATGTTTTCTGATTGCCATTTTGTCTTGTCTGTTTTTTTGTTTGGCAGTACTGGAGATTGAACCTAGGGCCTTCACACTGAGCTACATTTCCAGCCCATTTTTAAAATGTTGAGACAGTATCTTGTTAAGTTTCCCAGGCTAGATTTCAACTTACAGTCCTCCTGCATTAGCCTCCAAGTGTGCTGGGGTTGAAGGTATGTGCCACCATACCTTCTTCTGATTTCCATTTTGATTTCTTCTTGAACTTTTTCTGTGACTCGTGGGTTATATATAAATATATTTCTTCACTGCCAGTGACAGGAGGGTTTCTGTGTTTTGGTTAATGATTTTTGCTACAATTGAACTGCAATGGGAGGAGAAGTCCCTCTGTGACTTCAGTTATTTGAACTTTGTGGAGACTCTTCTATGGCTCATCATGAGATATTTTGCCAGGGTTTGTGTGCCCTTGAGAAGCCCCTGTGCTCTGCCACACGGGGCTCTTCAAACTGTCTGCTCATGTCCCACCTCCGTGAGTCTCATCTCTCCATTTCTGCAGACTTCTTCCTGCCTTTTTTGTTACTCATATATGGCGTGTTATAAGGCCTCAGCATGAGTCTGAATATTTTTTATTTTAGTCCTGTCAGTCTTCTGCTTTATTTATTGTCTGTCCATTTAATGAATGTGTACAAATCTAGAATTTTTCACCTTCTGGTGAATTTTTAAAAATCATTTTGAAGCAAAGTTCCACGTTGCTGCTACTAATGCTTTATGTCACAAATCTTTAGTCTGTTGGAAATATACTTGTCTAAGATTTCTCTTATTTGGAGATTTCATGCCTTCTCATTCCCCATGATTGTCCTTCACCTTTTAGGTAGCTTTATGATTTATAGGTGTCTCCAGGTATTGTATATATTGCATATTTTAAAAACTAGGAGGCAAAACATTGTTTTAAAAGGAAACATTCCCCTGTGTTTTTAAAATTGCAGGTTGGGTGGTGAAACCAATCAAGTGGGACACATCTAACATGCTCTCAAAAAACAAAACAAAACAAAACAAACCCCAGAAGGGAAAGTGGTATCTGTTTGTCACAGGAAGTAAGGGTGAGCACTGCTTTGCAAACTCTTGCTGCACATACACACATAAAACACATACCTTTCTGATAAGTGTGTGTGTGTGTGTGTGTGTGTGTGTGTGCATGCTTATGCACATTCTTGTTGCCACACAAATGTTTTTCTTACTGAGAGTCAAGGTAAAGCTTAAAGATTGAAAAGCACTTTGTGGCAGTCAGTGATAGCCATGTCTTTGTTATTTTCTTCTCGCTGAGTCACAATACCTGGCACCCACAAGTGAGAGGAGGAAATGTTTCTTTAGTTCAGTTTGTGGAGGTTTCAGTTCATAGTTGGCTGGCTCCAAGGAAGGGTGGCATGGCAGAGGGGCCAGGCGAAGGAGAACTAGTCCATAGTAGTCCATAGTGTGGTAGTGTGGTAGGCAGGAAGCAGTGAGCACTGAAGGGAGGATGGATCTATCTATCTATCTATCTATCTATCTATCTATCTATCTATCTATCTCCTGGCCACATTCACAGTGACCACCTCTTCCCACCAGGGGTCACCTCCCAACATCACACCCAGCTATAATCCCATTAGTGGACTAATCCAGCTTCACATCCAGTCACCTCTCAAATACCCACCTGTGAGTGCATGAAGCTTTGGAAGTACATGTAGGTATCAGCTGTAGACCCAGGCAGCATCTGCTTTAACTCTTTTTTGGCTGTTTTGTCCATCTCAGGTTGTAGACAGGGCCTGGCTGTAGGGATAGGTGACACCTGAGTCGGGGGAGATGCCGGCCCCACAGAAACACATGTATTCACAGTAGACCCAAGGTAGCTTGGGCCTTGCCCACAAGTGCCGGAGTCACCACTGGTTCCTCTAGGTCACTGTCCCCTGCTTTGTTTAGGTCTTCCCTCTATGTCTCTGTTTGGATATCACCAAATCTGAAAGTTCTTTTTCTGCTTAGCATTTTCCTGTCAGCCCATAAAGAAATAAGCAGCAGAAGAGCTTATTCAGTGGCACTTCCTTCCTGGCAGGGGTGCGCCTAGGTTTTACTAGGGGTGGTGACAATGGTGTGGTTTGCTCCCTGTTGCGACAGCTTTATATGGGAAGGTTTCCAAGGATCAGGTGCTACGTTGTTTCTTCCCTAATTTGGGCACCGGTGGATCTGTCGGTGTTTATCATTATAAGGAGACTACAACGAGCCCAAGGTTGTCAGGAGTGTTACTATGGCTCCAGTGGGCTAGTGCTTCCCTTGTGGGGAAGTGTGGTGTTTTTGTGACTGGCAGCTAGGGACATTTGGTTTCAGCATCCAGGCTTTAAGTTTTGAAGGCAAGCAGTACATCTGATAAGACAGCTGGCTATCAGTAACTTAGGGCTTATCCTGGTGACCAGGACACATTCCTATCATCCTCAGCCATCTTTTGGGAAGCCCTTGGGGACTCTCCTGGGTGGGGGTCTCTGCTTGCAGTTTTTTTTTGTTTTTTTTTTTTTGTCCCAGAGCTCCATTCCTAGTCCTGGGACTCCCAGGGACCCAATTCTGGTTCTGCCATGTAAAGGGGTCCCCTCGCCAGGGCCCAGACCTTCTCTACCCACCAATGTCCCAGAGGCTCTGCCCTCTAACCCCTGGCAGCCTAGCTGCCCCCTGCCTAGCACCTTGGAGGGCATTAGTCCTTATTCCAAAAGGTGCAGGTGTGGGTTTCTGTGGGGCTCAATGGGGATGGGATGGGGGGCTGGTCAGGATAGAAGATGTCTGGATATCTTTAAGGGACCTGCCCATGCCAAGAACAGATGCCCCACTGACACAGTCATGACATAAAAACCACCATAGAACCTCAGGTCCTTCACCAGTTAGTTATTCATCAAAAAGCATGGTTTGTGTTTTCTTCTCAGGGAGACAGGGACTTAAAAGTAGTTTTTGCAACAACAACAACAACAACCAAAAAAGAAAAAAATGAAAAAGAGCAACTCTTCCACTTGAGCCTACAGAGGCCCAATAGGTGACTAAAGGTAGAACAAAGCTTGACCTTCATTTATAAAACAGGTCAAATCCTCCTGAGCTCCCTGCTTATAGGTATATTAAACATTTACGAAATATTTGTCTAAAAGTTGGTAAAGCAAAGTTTATTAGACCTAAATTTACCTAAACTATCTCATCCCTCTTCAAGACTGAGGACACCAGGATAAGAGATTTATAGAAATATTTAGCTACACTCAGAATTTCCATTGCCTTAAACCTAAGATCACCTTGGATTCCAGCAGAGCCTCACTTAATTGAAATTTCCCTTCAAGACATGAGGATTCATGTGTGGGAATCAACCTGTCTCTCCAGTCATAGGGATTCAACCTGAGCTATGAAACCAGGCCTGAGATAATGATCGACTGGACCCTGGCACACAGTATCTCGCAAAAGTGGTCTCCCTTCTTTTATGGACAGGCCAGTCTGATTCTTTTCATCAGAGCACATTCCTTTCAGCTACTCAAGCTAGAGTCCTTTTCCTATCTTCTCTTACCTTCCAATTAATGTACATTCCAATAATGCACATTCATAGTCAATTTAGTTTTAGTTTTCATTATTGCTAAAGCAAAGACCTTCACTAGCTGGTGACATCACCCCTTGACAGGTTCTGAACCCCTCTTTTGAGAGGGCAGGAGGTGCACAGTCTAGGGTCTCAGAGGCCAGAAAGGAGATAAAGCCTGGTCCTGCCTTGGCCATTCCCAGTGTCATCTGCTATCGCACCTCCTTGTGTTAGGGGTAGTGACAATATGAATTTACTGGCAAAAACTTTTGGAAAGAGAATATAAAGGGAACCACAGCTCTGACCAAGGTCAAGTTGGGCTCTTAAGCAAGAACAGTCAGATAAGATAGGAAAAGGGCCTCAGTTTGAGGAACTGAAGCAGGAGCATGTCTGGAGAAGAGGATCTAACTAGCCTGTTCACAAAAGGACAGAGACCAGCTACATGGATGTGGGCTGGTTTCTTCGCGCTGCAGGAATCCTCACAGCTCCAGTCCTGATTTGATTTCCATAAAATTATTGTCTCAAAAAATAATTGTTCCTGTGGCTCTTTCAGCCATGTGAGACTCTGCTTTTCCTGGGACCCAGATTTAGGCCAACAGCTGGAGGTTGGTCAGAAGTCTCTGTGAACCCTGAAAAGGATATTAGTGGTATTATTGTAGATATTTAAGTTGCTTATATTATCTTGTAGGCAGTTAGACAGGGCAGCCTTCAAGTCGCAGCCCTCAGGAGCCAACATAGAGAACAATTAAGGCACATTCACTGGTTAGCATTATAAAAAAGAAAAAGTTTCTACTTCTGTAGAGATAGATAGCGGTGATTGATATTCTAAATGGGAAATTCCTTGTATGTGATGTATTTTCCCATTTGATCCCTATTTAATCAGTATTACCTGTGTGACTGTACTTATAATCTTACTGGTCTGTCATGGTTTTGCCCTACCTCAGGCCCACCTTGTAATTTTCCATTGGGTCTTATAGTTTTGTCCCACCTTGAACCAGTCTCACTTAGAGGCTTTGCTCCAGAAAAACCTCCTGGGAACTAGGATCCTGGCAAACCACTTTCAGGTCCCCCTTCTGGGTCTCTTAGACAGAAGCTTTCTCTCTCAATAAATCTGTCCTACTCTTAACCTCCATTGTTCCTAGAATCCATTCCTCAATTTTAGGGAACACAAACTTGAGTTTCGGATACTTAGCAGTTTTGGGGGGGTTACATCTCTTCCCTCTATGTCAGTATCCTACTGTCTGTCCTCTAGTCTGGAAAGGGAATGAGAGAGGCTAGGTGAATTTAGGGCTAGATAATAAATATTGTTTTGCCAGCTTTCCTAAATTAGTAGCATACCTGAGGTAGAGTAGAATAAATAAAGTGGTAGAAAAGAGGTCAAGAAAATAATTTAAAAATTGTATTTTTAAAAAGATTGTGACCTCCAGCCTCAAAGTTACCCAGTGGTATCCATATTAACATTCCCTAGGCTAATTTATGTTCTTTTCCTTCCAGACCCAAGGAAAGTTGAGTTTCCTTCCCCCTAAAATTCCATAAGGATACTGTAAGTCTGAAAATTAGTTTAACTGCGAAAGTAGAGTAAAACCGTGATCTTAAAGGAACAGATTGACAGAATTCAAAGAATGCTTACATTATCCATCTTAAAACAAAAACACAATAGGTGCATACCTTTCACAAACTGTAAAATGGGCTATTAACCTTCTTGGGGGAGGGGTGGGCCTCTTTTCCATGGGTTTTCCTGTCCTCAGGAGATAGCTTGACATAAATGCTCCCAGTTCCAGAAGATGGTGTGCTTCTCTCTTACGGGCTCCTACTCTTATTTCTTTGAGTGTGCACTTTTAAAATTCTGCCTAATAAGGCTGGGTGTGGTGGTGCACGCCTGTAATCCCAGCACTTGGGAGGCTGAGGCAGGAGGATAGCTGTGAGTTCGAGACCAGCCTGAGCTACATAGTGAATTTCAAGTCAATCTCAACTACATAGTGAGACCCTGTCTCAAAACCCACCCCCCAAAAAATTCTGCCTAATAAATCCCTTTATGTACCTTACTGAACCATCCTGAAAATTCTTTTTCTGCAATGGAAGTTAGCAGATATGCAACTATCTCATGGGTTGTGTGAGTCAAGGTTAATCATTAGATGCATGATTTGTGTTCTGAAATAGGGCCTTCAAAGTGGTTTTTGCTAAAAACAAAACAAAACCATGACAGTTCAGTTGGGCCTACAGATGCCCAATGGTAATAGTACAGAGCTTGACCTTCATTTTGTATGTTCATTACCTTAAACTTTGGATATAGATGTATCACTAGACAGGGTCCAAGGAGGTCCCCAAGGCAGAAACGGGGACAGAAGTCCATCCCTGGAAAAGCTGTCTGGCCTCCAACCGTCATGCCAGCACTAAAAGAAAAAAAAAAA